ATTAATCAAGAGATTAGAGAAAAATTATAGGGATGATGAAGAGAGAAAGAAAGAGATTGGGGCGACAGAAGAGAGCGAGCACACATGGATTCAAGCATAGAAATCATGCCGGAAATACCCACAGGTACTCTCTCTCTTCTGTCACCTCCATATTACCCATTTCGATCCAGAACTGAATTCTTGAAATGTTGAATCATTCTTCAAGGAAATATTGAGATGAAACCATGCATAGCATAAAAGGAAAACTTCTGTTGATGTTAGCCTAGCCCTACATTCGGGAAAGGGGAAGGTTTGTAGTGGTTTTGGTTTGATGTGGGAGGGAATGAAGAACGGGGTTATAGCCTTTATATAGGGGAAAGAAAGAAGAATAAGAAGAGCAAGAATCGTCTTTTTGGAGTAAATTTCACTAGTGTCCCTACCATACCCTAATATCCTTTCCATGTTCAAAGCCCCTTTCAATCCAGGCGGAACGGTTTCATGTGGTACGTACGTACACATCTATGGAATTTATACTATATTCTAAATTCCTTTTAAGGTTTGGTAAGCTCTCAAATACATCACGTTCTTTAAAAAATAGATTCCTTAATTTTACATTATTCAGATCAATTTTGAGTATACTTTACTCGTTAATATGTTAAAATTTCAATTTTTATACAAATTGTTAGATTCCTCTAATTTTAATTTTTTTAAATATGAATTTTTTATGTTAACTTATAAGGAATGAAATTTATCTATGATTAAAGTTGTGTGATTGTCAATGTAGAAAATGAAAACGTTGAAACTAAGAAGGAATTATAGGATTTGTTATTTTAGTTTGGTAAATTGTTATTTCGATCCTAAATAGTGATGTCTTTAAGAAGTTGTAGCTAGGGGCCGGTGAGCATAAAAATAAATTTTAAATTGAATTTTGGTAGACACGATCTACACTTCATTAAGAAAATGTTCAAAAAAAGCATCAAAAAAATCTACCTGAAAACACCTAAATTGGAGGCGGCCGCACAACGTCCTGATCAGAAAATTCATGACTAGTACATTACTCATATATGTAAATATAAATAATTATGGATATGAAGACTTGGTCTTTGTGCGCTTGGCCTTGTAAACCCGGTCAGGTATCCAAACCTAATAGAAGTATTTATGTGAAAAACCTACGTGAATGACTAAGAGCTTGTTTGATGAATCTGTTTTTCGCCTTATCAGACTTATCAATCATGTTTTTCGCGCACTGAATTGTGTACATCCGATCCCACTTACCCCACCGAAGGTATGGAAGCCTTTGCAGTACTGGGGTAATGATGATGATGATGATTGATTGAAGTTATTGTAGAGGACCGGCCAATTTAGCTATATTCATATAATCTTAATTTTCTTTACTTTATTAATAAAATATACTTTAAATGTAATTTTTTCATACATCAACAGAATCAATCAATACGACAAGTTCAGTCGGAACTTTATATATTTCACCAGAATCAACCAATTCAGTTAATTCTCTTATTATCAAATGGAATCTAAATGTGAAAGGTACAGGAGAATAAGTGAATAACTACAAAGGTTTATATGCTTATTATACCATATCGAACATTCCCTTTTGGGAAAGTCGGCTGCGAGAATTTCTTTTAGCGCGTTCATTTGGAAGATGAATACCACTGGTTTTTATGCTTATTATTATTATTACTTCCACCGTTCTTATAATCTTATTATAACTTCCAACTTTCCTTTTACGTTCGTTTCAATTAAAATTTCCACTTTTCCTTTGTAGTAAAGAATTTGTGTTTCACAACATTCTTACATATTTCTCTCTCCTCTACACAACTCTCCACCATACAATACTCACTATCTTAAATTGTGTGTGAAACCTGTTTCGAAGTTATAATAGGAACGGTGGTAGTATTATTTTACATGTAGATGTAGAAAACAGTTATTTTGCCCAATAGATTGGTATTCAAGAAAAATATGTACAAACAAATTAAATGAATTTTATTTAGATACTCCGTTTTTATATATGAGTGGTAGACACAAAATATATTTCGTAGTCACGGACATATCCGTGATTTTATTTTTAAACAATCCGTGACTAAATCCTGACTAGAACCGTGACTAACTAGTCACGGACCAAATCCGTGACTAGAGTCCATGACTACAAACGAATTTTTTTGTAGTGCTGAGACAAAAAACATATTAATATATTGTGTTTGTATTGACAAGATTCCTGCGTGTAGAAAAAATATTGTTATACATACGGAGTATATTTGTTGTGCAAATTACTTGTCCTATTTGTATCGATGGTTACAAATGTGCATGAGTTTTTTATACATTTAATTTGAAGCTCATTTTTGAAAGGAAAAAATAATTAAAATATCTCAAACTTTGGGGAAGTATCAGATAAACATCCAAATTTTCATATGTAATTTAAATACCTCAAACTTTATATAAGAGGTTATTATAGCAACATGGACATATATTATTTCTTTCAAAAATCTAATTTTATGATGTTAATTTTATAATTTAAAATAACAAATTAAAAATATTGCAATTATACATAGTGGGGGTAGTATTATTTATTTTACCATGAAAATTTTGAATAATAATTGTATCTTCATGAATGCTAAAATATTTTAAATTATGAAATTAATACACAAAATTAACATTTTTGAAAGAAATATGGAGTAATACATTACCATGATGCTAAAATAACTTTTTATATAAAGTTTGGGATATTCGAATTATATACGCAAGTTTGAGGTGTTTACCTCACACTCCTTTTGAGTTTGGGGTATTTTAATTATTTTCGCCTTTTTGAAAAAATGATTATTTATATATATATGGAAAAAAATGTGACTAACAAGGTAACATATTTGAAAATCATGATGTTAACTTCAGATTTTTATGTCACTAACGGATATCACTGTCACATTTTTATGTCACTAACGAATGTCATTATTGCCATGAAACTTATCATTGTCACGGAGGGGAAATCTCCGACAATTTTTTCAAGCGAAATTTGAAGAAGAAAATCATCAATTTTTCCGGCAACTTTTCTGGCTTCATAAAAATTGGATAAACTTTTCTATGCTTGACTAAAGAGTAAGGATGTTTTAACTTGGATTGAATTTTGGTCTCGTCTTGTATGATCTAATCTGGCCTGATATGAATTTTACTAGTCTAGTAGATATTTGATCTCTTTATATTCCACAACTGTCAAGTCTAATTTGGTTTGATTTATTTAAATCTAGTCTAATCTATTTGAGTCTAATCTATTCTAATCTAGTTTGGGATTGAAATAAAAATACTCTAAGAGAACTTTCGAGTGATATGAGTCCACAAAAGAAGTATAATCTCATGGTGATTCTGTTGTAAAGTTCACCATTATGCTACTAATATAGGCAGTGTACTTAAAAAACATGAATTTGCTGCCTTTCATGAAATCCTGAATTGAAAAAATAATAAGGGTTTTTTCCTTGAATAAGAAAGTCGTATTTGGGGAAAAATATGTCACTGTCAAATTGCATGTCACTATCAGATGTCACTACCATCATCGCCTATGGCACTGCCGTCATCACATGTGTCATTGTCGATGTCACTACTGCTGCTTTCAGAGTTACTGATTTTGTGAAATATGTCACTGTGATCGCCAAAAAAAAATTCGTTGGCTTCTCTTGACAAAAATAGCACTCCCTCCGTTTCTATTAAAACTTCCAACTTTCTTTTTTCGTCCGTTCCAATTAAAACTTTCATTTTCTCTTTTTAGTAAAGAATTTGTGATTCACAACATTTCTTACACATTTCTCTCTCCTCTACACAACTCTCCAACACACAATACCCACTATCTTAAATTGTGTGTCAAACCTATTTGGAAGATAAAATAGGAACAGAGGGATAACTTTTTTCAACAAAACAATGACTTCCCTTCCCCATTCCCAAGCCCTAGCACCCCTGCTATGTGTGTGCCCTTGTCATGCCTAGCCCCTGATCTGCCACGAGCCACACTCTACCATTCCCCAGCCACGCTCCCCAGCTCCAACCTTGACCCAACCCACCATTCCTCCCTCTCCAGCTAAGACCTTACCCTTTCTGTTAGCTTAGCTGCCATCTGTTAACTCGACCTACCATTTGTCCCAGATCTGGTCGCTTGCTGGTCTCCATCTGACGAGGCGCGAAGAGTCTGGTGGAGAGGCGGCGAGGCGAGTTGAGATGCGACGAAGTGGGGCGAAGAGGCAGCTAGGCGCGACGAGTCAAGGCGTGAGAGGCGTGGCAGAGAGGCACGGCGAGTACAGGTGCAGGGAGGCATGGCGGTGAGGCGCGATGAGTCAGGGTGGCGGATTGGAGCAACAATAGAAATAGAGAAGAGAGAAGAGAGAAGGCGCAGAGTTGGGGCAGATTGACGGATTGGGGGAGAGAGGTCACATTTCTGTCCGGCTTAAAAGTAGTCATATTTTTGTCCATCTAAACTCCTAAATAATATTTTTGACATTCTTTCAAGTAATAATACGTCACTATTAGGTCTAACACAACTTATAGAATCTAAGGGAAATTTTTTAAACAGGAATAAAAACGTTTGAAAATTTCAAAACAGGACTGCCATGTTTTATTCCTAAAATAAGAGTAATTATTGCCAGGTTTAGTAATATTGTCATGCTTAAAATCTAGTACTGAAAAAACATGGCAATAATTACTTTTATTTTGGAAATAAAAACATGACAACCATAGTTTGAAATATACAAACATTTTAGTCCTATTTAGGGTAATTTCTCTAAGATCTATGTATGTCAATCTGTACTATAAAGAACCTCTTAAACTTGCAAATCAATTGGTAGTATTTAATTTGTATTAGTTACTTTTATTTTTTTGTTTTCACTTTCAGAGCTTTATAGAAAAGAAAGTTTACGTATAGTGATAAATGTCAATTTAGTTCGTCTAAATAACATTAAATATACGAAAAATGTAAATGAATATGAGCAACTCTACTACTTGAATGACACTTTGCGGGTGACATGGACATGCATTTTTATTTTACCCCCACTATGAAATTGAGACCATGAATGAAACAGTAAAACTATATGCAACTACCATCATTGTAAAAACATTAATATCTGATATTTCAAAAATTGTTTAATTCATAACCACCACCTTCAATTTAATCGGTAAAGAAGCTACATGTTAAGCAACGAAGGTCAGTCTTCTTCATTAGAATCTGAACTTCCATATTCATAGCATTCATTACTGTTTTCAATTTCTTCATCATTATCGGTGTCTTCTTCTCCATTGTCACCAATAGTGTCAAGCTGAGGCAAAATGTCCAGTCCTTTGCTTCGATAAACTAACCCAGTCCTCATCACATGATGAAATTTGTCCCTATGTCGAGTAAGTGGATGCGGATCTGTCAGTCTACCACGACGGTAACCCTCCCTAAGTGCCACAGTCGTCGTTTTACACTTCATTGAAAGGTAAAAAATCCCAGGGTATCTAGTAAATATTCTGGTGAATCTGTGTGGGAGGTTCATTTCTTCCCTGAGGCTCCTTAGGTAATTTCTCTTCGTTTTCTTGTAAAGGGTCAAGCTCAAGATTTCATGAAGCACGCCAACAACCCGCTTTTCCATTAGATCACTGTCAGGATCTATTCCACTTGAATCTTCATATGGAGAAATGTAGGGAAGATTCTGAAACTCCTCCATCCAGGTTTTCACCTTCTTCTGTGCACCATAACCCCTGGGGAAACTCATGGGGAATTCCAATGTCGATTTCCCCCTTCGAAATTTCCTGTACATGGAACTTTCAGAGTTATTGTCAACTGACTCGACCTTCTGGTTCATCTTTTGGAACTCGGAGAATGCAAAGTCATCTTTCCAGTTGAGAAGTTTTAGACATGGTAAACCATTTGTGCCCCTAACGACAGTGAAATCATCTGGAAATTTTTTTATGAGGTTGCGATCGAAATCATCAGGCAATCCTAAATCCCATTTTAGTCGATGCAGAGATAACACAGGTACCTATTTGTACATCATTTAAATAAAATATGTTAATGATGAAAAAGGGTGCAAAATCGGCATAAACAGAAATGAAAAATAAACTGCAAAACATGCGAAGTTCGGATCCCTTTTAGCAGAAAGTCTTAATCATTTAACAATAGTTGCCAAAAAAAGCAAAGTATTTTCATTATCATGGTGGAAGCATATGCCTTCACTTGACACCCGAAGCTGAACTGACACCCTCTAAACTCTCAGTTTTAAGGTTTGCTAGAATCAAGGAAACTACAGGGGAGGGGGATGCTATGAGGAGGTGTCATATATTTGGCTTTTCATTCAAAAATACAAAGGAACAATAAAAATGATTGATTATTTTGTTTAAATTTAAATGTATAGACTTCTTCATGGTGTTCAAGCATATGTATATATGACATGTTTTATTAAAATCATTTGTTCCCTTCAAATGTTCTCATTTTCCTCTCTATTTCTTTGCATTGTATTTTTCTGGTTCCAAAAAAACGTCAATCATCCTTTGCTTCTAAAAGCTTATATTCTGATAGCTATCTATATTTTAAGCATCATATGAATCAAATTATCTAAACTCAATCATGTTTATTTTTAGTCATAATGAACCCACCCATATCATGGAAACGATTTTAAAATTTACATGGTAAATTAATCAAATAGATATGGAGAAGCACAACATTAAAAAAAAGTATACCATCCTCGCAAAGTTTCAATGAGGAAAATAATTTGAGAATGCATCCAGCATACGAACTTTACCATTCTATTCCTGGTCATCATGAGGACCCTGGAGAGCCTCTCCATCAAATCACTTTCAACATCATCAAAAATCTTCATTTCTTGATCATGAAGAACTTTTGCAATGTGGGTAAGCTTAAAGCAAGGCAACGATGGATACTTGGGATGTGGAAACTCCTCAAAGAGAGTGGGGAATCGGCGGATGAACCGGAGGGTGGGAACAGTGAGACCAAGGAGTTTTTGGGAGTCAACAAGGGAGTTGGAGTTGAGGTATCCAGTAGGTGAGCGTACAATAGCATCCTTGAGAAGGCAAGCGGCTTTAAGATCTGTTTGGACATCTATGATGTGATCTAAGCCTCGGTTTTTCACCCATTTCAGACGGACTTTAACAATGGTTCTGTAGTGATAGAGAAGGTGGGCATGGGCATTTTGTTGAGATTTTAGGATCGAGAAGATCTCTTTTGTTGCAAACTTCATTAATATTTCACTAAATCTGGATCCTCTTCCAAGTAGGACAGTGCTCACAGAGTTCAACTTCAGCCAACATGACTTTATAGCACTGAATTCATTTCTTCAAAGTTTCACCGAAATTTAAAAATCTTCACGTTGTAATTAACCTGTCAAAATGAATTCATATGAAACTTCATAGAACTATTCTACAAAACGCATGTGCATGCAATCTCTAATATAAATGCATCTTTAACTATAAAAACAAAAAACAACTCAACTATTCGAACTTAAAAGCCAGTGGGCATGTTTGGCAATCAGCAGTTAGCGGTTAGCGGATTGTGTTAGCGGATTGTTAGGAGCGAATTGAATCAGCGGATTGGACTAGCAGATTCATTTAGCGGGCTGTAGAATGATGTTTGGTAAATAAGCTGATTCATCGTAGCGGTTAATAGATAAAAAGATATGCAAGGGCATTAATCATGGGATTCTTATCTTTATGCATACGTATTCCTATATTAAGTTACTTGAACTCAAACCACAATCAGCTTATACTTTACTACATATGAATACTTTTCTATATGCTTCGTATATGTTAGTTGTAGACTTGTAGGCTTCATAGCCTACAATTTTCTCAAACAAAGCTTTTACGAAAAAATCATCTTTGAAGCTTTTACCATGCGTCTTCCATAGGAGAGCAGTCAAGCAGTCACCAGAAGCACCTAGAGGGAGATAGGCTTCCCAGAGTTGCAGCAAGAACAAATAGAAGATGAGAGGGCAGAGTTGTGAATCCAGTAATTATTTGAAAACGCCAAATATAAACGCTCCTATTTCAGGCGTTTTTGTTTTTGGCGGATTCATCCCAAACGCTAAACAATATCGCTCTTTACCAAACATCAAAAAACTCCAAAACTGGTCAAACCCTCTAACTCTTGGCTAAAACGCCAATTACCAAACGCAGCCAGTGTCTATATAGTTCTCTTGATAACAAGTTACTTGTCAGCTATTAAAACCTAAATACTTTATTTACTCTCTGCATCTTTGTCCTAACATACTAAGTAATTCAATTAAGGAAAACTATGAACTAATCAATTAAGAAAAACATAAAGTCAACAACATGGGTAGAACAAATCTACAGATAACAATCTCAACAATTATAAACATAAACTAATCAACACGAAACAGATAACAAATGAATTAATTACTAATCAACTAATACAACAACAACATCCAAACCTTAGTCCCAGCAGATATTGGGGTCGGCTAACATGAATCGATACATGATATCACAACCAAAAGGAAAAGAAGGAATAAAGATAAAAAGATAAGCTATTATGAAAAGATAATATAAAAAAAGATGAATATATATAAAAATGATAAAATAAAAAGGCTGCAAATAATGCTTATATATATAAGGATAAAAAAAACTAGGAAAAAAAAAAGATGAGGGAAAAAGATTATCAAGATCACTCCTTCACGTGAATACCCGCCCTCCACTTGGTTCTCTCCAAAGTCATGCCCTCATCCAACCCCAGAAGAAGCATATCACTTTGAACTCCCCTAACCCACGTTTGTTTGGGTCTTCCTCTCCCTCTCTTCCCTGCCTCTTCTCCACACATCTCAACTCGCCTAACAGGTGCATCACTCGGTCTTCTACGCACATGACCAAACCACCGTAGGCGCGACTCCCGCATCTTGTCTTCAATAGGTGCTACTCCCACCCTTTGTCTGATTAACTCATTCCTCCACGATCCTTCCTAGTATGCCCACACATCCAACGCAGCATGCGCATCTCTGTCACACTCATCTTTTGAATGTGACATTGTTTCACCGCCCAACACTCTACGCCATACAGTAATGCAGGCCTAATTGTTGTTCTATAAAATTTACCCTTCAGTCTAGTCGGCCTACCTCGATCGCATAGAAATCCCGACGCACTCTTCCACTTCATCCACCCTGTTCTGATTCTATGGGATACATCTCCATCTAACTCACCGTCCTTCTGAATTATGGAGCCCAAGTAACGGAAAATATCGTTGACTGGTATCTCCTTACCATCCAGAGTAATTCCGCTATTACCACTACTTCTACCTCCACCAAACTTGCACTCCATGTACTCTGTCTTGCTCCGACTTAGTTTGAAACCCTTATTCTCCAATGTTTGTCGCCATACTTCCAACTTTGCTTTAAGACCTGATTGCGTCTCATCAATCAATACAATATCGTCGGCAAACATCATGCACCACGGTATATCGTCTTGAATTGACTTCGTAAGTTCATCCATGACTATGGAAAATAAGAAAGGACTCAAGGCCGATCCTTGGTGCACTCCGATAGTAATAAGGAACTCTTCAGTCCTCCCTACACTAGTACGAACACTTGTAGTACAATCCTCATACATATCCATGATGATGCTGATATACTTGCGTGATATGTCTTTCCTAGTTAAGGCCCACCAAAGAACTTCTCGAGGTACCCTATCATATGCCTTTTCTAAGTCAATGAACACCAGGCATAAAACCGAATTGATTCTCTGAAATCTTCACAGTCCTTCGAAGTCTTTGCTCAATCACTCGCTCCCAAAGTTTCATGGTGTGACTCATAAGCTTAATCCCTCGATAGTTGGCACATTCTTGTACATCACCTTTATTCTTAAATAAGGTGATAAGAGTACTCTTCCTCCAACTCGTTGGCATCTTGTTGTTTCTTCAAATCATGTTGAAGAAACTTGTTAACCACTCGACGCCTCTCTCTCTCAAACTTCTCCAAGCCTCGATCGGTATGCCATCTGGCCCCATTGCTCTTTTCCGTCCCATCTTCCTCAGAGCTTCTTTAACTTTCGTTGTTTGGATCCTTCTCACAAAATCACGATTTACCATACAATCTGGTATGGACAAATCGCCGATATCTTGCGTTTTGTTCCCGTTGAATAGTGTATCAAAGTATGACCTCCACCTCTCTTTTATCTCTTTGTCGTCCATTAATATCCTCTGATCAACATCCTTCACACACTTAACTTTTGCAATATCTTGAGTTATGCGATCACGAAGACGAGCAAGTCTATAAATATCTAGTTCTCCTTCCTTAGAGTCCAACTTTTAATACAACTCCTTGTTCACTTTCCCTCGTGCTTCCCTTACGGCTTTCTTTGTTTGTCTTTTAGCCTCCCTGTATGCTTCTATGTTCTCATCACTCTAATTTGTCCCTAACTTTTTGTAGCAATCTCTTTTGTTCCTTATGGCTTGTTTCACCTCATCATTCCACCAAGATGTGTCCTTTTTAGGTGGCCGACATCCTTTAGATTCTCCAAGTACCTCCTTTGCCACTTTGTTAATGGTCAAGTCCATTGATAACCACACATCATCCACATGTGTTTCATTATCAATACACCATACATCTTCACCGACCATTTTGTGTGTAAAGCTTTGTTGAAGATCTCCCTCAAGTCTCCACCACTTTATCTTTGGCTCCACTTGTTGTTTAACTTGTCTTCTATGGTTCTTACCTCGAAAGTCAAGCACAAGCATCCTATGCTGAGTGACAACACTCTCACCTGGAATAACCTTACAATCAGTGTAGCTAGTTCTCCAAGTGGTCCGTACTAAGAAGTAGTCAATTTGGGTACTATTAGCTCCACTTTTATAGGTTATAAGGTGAGAGTCTCTTTTCTTAAACCAAGTGTTCATTATAGCCAACTCATACGTCAAGGCAAAATCCAAAATGTTCTTTCCCGCCTCATTCCTAGTGCCAAAACCATGTCTGCCATGAATATTCTCAAAGCCATCACGACTCGAGCCCACATGCCCGTTGAGATCACCTCCTATGATCAACTTCTCTCCCTTTGGCACTCGTCGCACCACGTCTTCAAGATCTTCCCAGAACTGTTGAGTTGTAGATGCATCCAATCCCACTTGTGGTGCATAGGCACTTACCACAGACACAATCTCACCTCTTATCACCAATTTAATGCTCATGATGCGATCGTTCTTCCTGAAGACTTCTACCACATCCTCAACATAGTCACGCGTCACAATAATGCCTACCCCAATCAACTAATCACTAAAAAAGCTAGAAGGTACGAATAAGCACAAGAATACCATAATCCTCAACTAATCAACTAATCATTTATAAAAAAGCTATAAATTTATGAAATGATCAATAAAACTTGTGAAATGATTTATAAGCACGGGAGGAGTACCTGAGAAGGTACGAAGGGACTGGAAACAAATGAGAGAATTGAAGGTGAGCAAGTCCAGTCTCCAATGGTCCGTAGAAGTGCAGGCGGTGGTGCAGCCGTGCAACCAGGGGCGGATTTAGCTTTGGCATTCATGGGGCCAAAATTTAATTAAATAAAGTACATTGAAAAAAACATCTATTGTAACACCAAAATCAAAGACAAAAATAAACATAATAAGTCTACCTTGAGATCGGTATTCTCAATCCAGGGTCGGATGGAAGTTGGGAAGAATCAAATTTTTCAACGGTGAATGATTGTCGGTTATTTATGTGGTTTTGTTCATCATTTGTTGTTGAGTTTTCTTGAATTGTATTGGGGGCACTACAATTCTGGATGAAATACCTTCCTTAGCTCCTACTTCACAGAATTATAGCATCTCTTCATTACCTTTATTGAAAATATAAGACTAGTTACTACACTGATACTAATTAACTTAATAATAATTAGATTAAAAATTTCAAATCACAAGTAAATTCATGTTACTATAAATGATGATTACAACTTTATAAATAACAATCAAATTCATACGTAGTACTAAACAAGGCTGTAATTCAGTAATTAAATTGAATTAAAAACACAATAAAACTAATACTTAAAATTAAACAAGTCTGTAAAACTAAACAAGGCTCTAAATAAAATTAAAAAACTTAATTAACTTAGTAACTTACCCGTTAGGTAGTTCCGCAGCTGCGGGTTCCCAGTTTACCACCGAAGAGCAGAATTAGAAAGCCAGAGGGGTTGCAGAAAGCCAGATTCCCAGATACCCAGTTCCGCAGCTCCGACGTGGGCACGTGGCGGTGTCCGTTCGACGGCCGACCAGCGAGGCAGCGACTGACTATCGACGATACGTTGCTGCGTGCTGAAAGGGAAGGATGCGGTCAAGTGGACTGCTGCTGCGGTGCTGCCTCTTCCCCTGCGCCTGCATTCTTGGAGTTGGGTTTGGGATTTTGAAAGTTTGGGCCATGGTCTAATTGTCGGCTTGGCTGGAAGGATGGGAGAGGGCAGGGACTTGAGCGGAGTGCGGACGAACAAACCTACGGGCTAATGGACCTGGACCTGGACTGCTCTATATAAACATTTTTTAAAATTTGAAGGTGGGCCTGATTTTTATGCGTATATGCTAGTTAAACAAAGTGGAAATATCCCGATCAAGCCACTTTTGTGTCTGGTATTTCATTTATGTCCACGTCTAAAATACTTTTCATAACTAACTCTCAAATTTTCACATCAATCTTCTATATTTCAAAAATAATCAGAGAACTCTAGGTTCATGTATGCTCAGATCTGCCAGATGCTCGAAACCTCCCTTCTCTTACTCGTCGAAAAAATTAGAAGAAACCGACGACTCCTGCGTTTGAGAAGCCGATGACCTCTTGCGTCTGAGAAGCCGACAAACTCCTGCGTCTGAGAATCTGACGAACTCCTGCGTCTGAGAAGCCGACGGTTCCTACGTCTGAGAAGTCGAGTAGTCGACCTGTCAGAATTGGCGAAATTGTTGAAACTTGAGGCTATGGACGAGACTAGAAATATCAACGAGGTGACGGAGAGAGACGAAGACAACTTCAATTTCGTTCGCAGGGCAAAACGAACACTTGTTGACAGAGATAATGACGACTTCTATGAGCTCGATTGGAGAGGGAAATCCAGTCTATCAGACTGATAGCGTTGGGGATGAAGGTTGCATTGAGGTGATGACCTTAAAATCAGAATTGAGGGAGCGGTAAATTGCCTAACCAATTGATTGAACAAAAGTAACTGTAAGGCTCATTGAGGACTTCTTTAAGGAGGAATAGCTCAACAAACATCTCTGGACTCGACACAGCTCACAAAGGAGGAATCTAATGCAAACAGAATGTAATGAGTAATTACACTCACAAACAAGCCCAAACAAAGTAATCACACTGATGCATTCAATCAAGCAAAATGACTAAGCTGGTAGGAAGCCTGGAACCTTCTCCTCTCCATCACAATATAATGGGTTCTCCCTATTTTGACAAGTTTGCATATGGCAGAGAATAGTGCAAGTAGAGGGATGTTTCTGCTAATTTTAGACTATAGTAGATGTATCTTTGAAACCTATGATGCATGGGTTATTTGTATAAGTAGGATTAGTTTGTGTTTTTAAGTTAGATTACTGTATAATATACTATAATATGTTCTTAAATCAGATTACAAATGTGAAAGACGAGGTAAATGACCTTCTTGATTTTGCACGAGTATGGATAATTAAGTTAAACTTCATTATAAATAACATATATAAACGTGATAATGCTGCAGCACAAGCGAGCTTCTTAGAACTTGGTTCAGCCGTATGCAAGTTCATTTTGTTGGCATGATACGTGGTTCAAGATGATGAAGTGTACCAGAATTGTGTCGTTACATCCTTTAGTTAAAGAGGCATTGACATGTTTCTAAGTTGTTCATTTATTTTAGGACTCATGGTTAAGATGAAGAGTAAAAGATGGATAGTAAAGCTCTAATTATTAATGTGTTGATGCATGCTAGTACTCAATGTTTTTGTTGCTTATTGTATCTTTATGTTTCCATTTTTTGTTTCTTTTTGTTTATTTTTGTTGCTTTTTGTTGAATGTTGTTTCTAATTATTGATTATTTTCATTTTTTGATTTTATTTTTATTGTATCATGTTTATTTTTATCGCTTCGAAATGCAAAACATATGTGCATGCCTGTATGCTTGTGTGTACAAACACACAAACCAAAAGGATAAACTTAAATCTATGAAATGAATAACAAGAAACATAATTAAACAATTAAAAACAAAATTTGCAAATTTATCAACAAAAAGAAACACAATGAAACAATTTAAAACAAAAATTTAAGAATTAGCAACATAAAGAAACACAAGAAAACAATAGGGAACAAAAACTTACAATAAAATGATGATAATGGTAATTTTTAAAATTTTTAAGTACTTTAAGAAATATTGAATTATTTTGATTTTTAAATATTCAATTTTCAATTTTTTCAAGTTCTCTAGGTTAGTATCTTATATTTTTATTGTCTGAGTTTGTTTTAATTTTACACACTTGTAGGTTACATTCATTTTTTTTAATTTTATGTAGTATAATTTTTCTTACTACATAAATTTTAATTTAAAATTTTAGAATTAATTCAATTTTTATATATTTATTTGATATTTTATTTTTAATATGCATATTTTCCATTCTTCAAGATAACTATTTCACAAAAGCATCTAATTACTTTTATACTTTCTTATTATTTTACCTATTTTATACGAGTACCCTTTTATTAATCTTTTTGATTTTTTACTATTCACAAAGTTACATAATCAAAATCATATTTTGTACCTTTTTACAATTTCTCGACATTTTAAACTATTTTTAATTTTTTATATCTTTGTTTTCAAGTTTTTATTTTAAATGTTTGTATAAGTTTTATATTTCCAGAATTTTTTTTAATTTACATTCATATTTATTTTTTAAATTTAATTTACATGTTTCCAATTTTTTCCTTTTTAATTGTTTCCGTAATGATTTTTTATTTATTTCAAAATTCAATATATTTTTTTAGAATATTATGGTATTCTAAGCATTTTTTTAAAACTTTTACATTTTTGTCTTTCAATATTTGTTTTTTACATTTTTTATTTTTCTATCGAAAAATAAATTTAATGGTTGTTACACTTTGCACTACGTATTAGTTTTTGAAAAAGCCGGTAGCAATTCAAACCTCACGCGCGTGCTCCTTCGAAGATAAGATTATGCAGTAAGGTAAGTGTGTTTAACGGTAATGGTCTATTTTTGAAAGAATTTTTGTTAAACAGTCTATGTTTGAAAAAAAGTTTAAATGGTTATAAAAGTGATATTATTTTAATTTTATGTCTATTAGTGAAAATTTCCCTTAAACAAATAATAAAAAATTGAGGGTGATCCTGGGCCCTCCCTGGCCCAAGGCCCAATCCGCCCCTGTCTGCCGTTAACAGCGATAGACCTAAGGCGATAGACCGAAAGGAGCATTCCGTCCTGATTAGCGGAATAGCGGGTTTCTTTTTTACATCCAGTTGGGCCTTTGGACGGGGGCTAATGAGCATGTATTAAACTATCGGGTAATAGTATTCACAGTTCCAATTTTATTATTCACATCCACCAATTAATTATTAATTAACAAAAATATATTATTAAAAAATAATGTGACCCTTCATATTAATACACTAAAATAATAATATCATAAATATAAAATCATTCTGCACAGTTTGTTTATTGATAACTCTATTTACGGTTATCAAATTAAATACTACCTCCGTCCCGAAGAGTTTCGTCATATTGACTTTTCTTGATCAATGATGGTGAATTTTGGGCAATGATTTTAATTATTATATTTGTCTAGAACTTATAAATTTTATACTTTTATGAAAATATTTGGAATAAGGAACATTTTGATATATTTTTTATACTCTAATAATTTCGTATTAAAAATATCATTAGTCAAAGTTGATTGTCATTGATCAAGAAAAGTCAATTTGGCGAACCTTATTCGGAACGGAGGGAGTATTACAAATCATGTTATTTAAAGTATCCAATGTGAACATCGTTCCTTCAAGGGCATCCGATAAAATTGGAATGATAAATAAATATCTAATATGTAATCATAAAGTACATTATATCAATACACTAGACACATTTTTGATATTTAAGCATTTAATATAATCGCATGTGTGATGTTTTTTAACAGTGATTTTTGTATACTTCTCAATATTATACTCCCTCCGTCCCATTTAAAGATTCTCGTCCACTATTCACATGGTCAACTTAAATCATTCTTAATCTTTTGCTTTATATATCAAATTTTTATGAAATTTACATATTTTTTATCAGCCTTTGTAGCGACTTCAATGTAGTTTCTGAATATGTAAATTTTGTTTTTTAAAAAAGATCGAAGTGTGAACAGGGATCAAGTTGTTTTATCGTCAGTCAAGCATCGTAAACTGAACCGGGAACCTCTGTATGGGACGGAGGGAGTATTAGTTAGTTGAAGGAATGATTAATTAATATATTAAGAGTGTGATAATACACACATATGAATTATATAGAACAATTACTTTCAGTTAGGATTAGTAAAAAATCTCCATATTTTATATGTTAGTTATGTATTATTTAGATGAACATAATGATATATATTACTCCCTCCGTTCCTATTATATCTTCCAACTTTCTTTTTTCATCCGTTCCAATTAAACTTCAACTTTCCCTTTTTGGTAAAGAATTTGTTGTTCACAACATTTCTTACACATTTCTCTCTCCTCTACACAACTCTCCACCACACAATACCCATTTTTCTTAAATTGTGTGCCAAAGTGAAATGGAAGATATAATAGGAACGGAGAGAGTAATATTATATATACTAGTAAACTCACCCGTGTGATGCACGGTTTGAGAATTTTTCTTTCAAATTTATGTGTGCTTAGTGATTCAAATCACACTATCAATTGGTGACATCATCTATCTTCATGTAATACTGACAAAGCATTAAACGAAACACACTTATAATATTATGGTCAAAATGAGAGTAATAAGCATTAGTTTACCCGCAACACCGTCACCAATGCTGGCAATCCAATATAAAAACCTTCAAATCGTAAGAATATGATGAATCTGTCGTGTTCTGCAGGGTCCATATTTTTTTGTCAAACGAATGACTGTGCATTCCGACCACAAATATGATGAATTAATCGTCGCATTGACTACATCATGTCTACTCCCATGAGGTACCACCGGCAACATGTGCCGAAAATCAAGGTTTATTTAAATTAATTGAAGGTAAATTATTTATGATGACTAAGTAATAAGGTGACTATAAATTTACACGAATTGCATTTTTTTGACGAATTGTCTCTCTAAATAGGGTAAATAAGGGAGTAAAGTATGCGAAAGTGTGTTATGTCATTCTTGAATTATACTTGAATCTAAATTTGTGGAAAATGTTCAAATAGGTGCTTCTACTATTTCCAATATACCAGTATGGTCTGGTCTGATTTGTTTAAGTTTGGTTTGGTTTGAGACCAATAAACATTTCAAGTAATATGGTGACTATGCATTTATACGAATTGCATTTTTTACACGAATTGCTCGGGTAAATTGGCAAATCAGGTGGTGTGCAAATATGTGAAAGTGTGTTATGGCATTGTTCAACAATACTCATATATGATAATTCTTCAATCGAGCCTTAACCGGATCTATTCGATCCTAGACCAAACAACAGCTAAGGAAAGTTGACTCGAACTAATGTAAAGGAATTTTTTTATCTCTGATTTTCATAATCGATATCTTATGAATATTTTTGATATCATAGGAAAACCAACAGAGACTGGACAGGTCCCACCCTTAACAAACATTGTTTCTTTAAGAGTGAAAAGGAAAAAATATCAAACTGAAATGAACGAAGAAGTGTGGAAGACCGAAGAAGTGAGGAACTTGAAGAGTGGAAGACCGATGAACTGACCCGTGCAATGCACGGTTTGAGAATTTTTCTTTCAAATTTATGTGTGCTTAGTAATTCAAATCACACTATCAATGGATGACAACATCTATCTTCATGTAATACAGATATACATCGAAACATTAAACGAAAAACACTTATAATATTATAATCAAAATGAGATTACTAAGCATTACTTAAAAGATCAAAACATCCAACAAATACATTGAAACCATAACATTGTAAACATGCATTGAAATCGATGTGCTCACAATACTAAAGCATTACTTCCGGGTACTTCTTATTGGCCTCCATCCATGATGTGAACATACTGTCCTTAACTAAACATGCCTGAATCACTGAATGTCTGAATCCAGAGGCTGATCATCGCGAAAGACAATATTTTGTTCTTCCGGCCAATGGAAGCTCAAAGGTTCAACTATCGGGGTCTTATATTGAATTTCAAACCCAAATATGAGCCAAGCAGCCTCGCACGCAGAAATGTATCTACAGTTATAGTACATCTGTATCTCATCGTTTGATCGTGCATTGCACGGTTAACATTTGAAGTTGTTAATAGGAATGCTTCACATTTTAGCTTGTACTAACTTATGTCAAAATCATTTCTTTTAGTAAAATGCTTTGCTAGTAATTCACCTTGCGATGCAAAAATTGATTTTGCCATTTTTGTTTTAATTTTCAAAGGTTTATATAATTAATTGAAGGTAAACTATTTATAATGACTAAGTAATAAGGTGACTATAAATTTATACGAATTGCATTTTTTAGATGAATTATCTCTCTAAATAGGTAAAATAAGGGAGTAAAATATGTGAATGCGTGTTATGTCATTCTTGGATTATACTTAAATCTAAATGCGTCGAAAAATGTTCAAATAGGTGCTTCTACTATTTCTAATATCCAAGTATGGTCTGATCTGGTTTGTTTAAGTTTGATTTGGTCTGAGATTGAAATAAATGTAAGTATAAACATCTCAAGTAATATGGTGACAATGAATTTATGCAAATTGTATTTTTTACACGAATTGCCTGGGTAAATTGGCAAATCAGGGGGTGTGCAAATATGTAGAAGTGTGTTATGTCATTATTAAATAATACTCAAATATGATTTTGTAAGAAAATGTTAGTTGAGTTTCTATATGAAAGTAATACTCAATATATATTAGAGTTAATTATCAAAATAGGACTAAAAGTCATTCACTTTTCACAAATAGGACCAAAAAATGAACTATGTTTACATAGGACTAATTATGTGTACCTTGGATAATTATACCCTTATAGCTATTAAAATGTTTTAATTCCTAATAAAATAATAAAAAATAATAAAATTCGTAAAAAATACTAAAAAATTAAGAAAAACATTTCGATATTAAAAATTTAATATTTTTTTTCAAAAAATTAAAAAAATTAAAAAAAAATAAAAAAAATAAAAACTCAAAAAAAAAACCGCCGCCGCCTCTGCCACCTCAGCACCACCACCTCCAGTCACCAGGGGAAAAAATGACAAGTTCATTACGAATGCCATATTTATGGCAGAAAAAAATGAAAATGTTGGCATTCGAAAAGAGAACTATGCCACTTTTTTGGCATTTTCAGAAAAAAAATGGCATTTTCCTGGGAAAATGGCATTTTTTCATCGGCCGGAGGTGGTGGTTCTGGGAGGTAGTACAGGCGGTGGGAAAGGCATCCATATTTTTTAAAATTTTTTTACGGAGTTTTACTATTTTTTATTAATTTTTTTAAAAATAAAATTATTTAAAAAAAAAATTGAATTTTTTATTTTATAAAAATTTTATAAATTTTTTAATTATATTTCTACGAATTTTTGAATTTTTTTCGAATTTATTATGAATTAAACATTTAATTATGGCTTTTGACTATTTTTAATTCATATTTAATGGAAGGGTAAGAATGGAATGCAAAAATAGGTATGTTTCCAATAGGACTCATATGGTCCTATTTTGGAATAAAAACATAGCAAGTCCTGTTTTAGGTTTTTGTCATAGTTTTAGTCCTATTTGAACTAATTTTTCTATATATATTAATTGAAGGTATAGTACTGATAATGACCGAGTAATAGGACGACTTTACATTTTTACGAATTGCGTGGTTAGGTGAAAGTGTGTTATGTCATTCCTACATTATGCTTGAAAATTGGAATGGAATTGAAATGACAATCTAACATTTGAAGGTGTTAAAGAATGTTTGAAAATTAACACCCTTTGTCCCACACAAACCTCTTTTAAAATAAAAATATCATCTTCCAATTAAATGCTTTGCTAGGAAAAATATATGGGTGAATAGGCAAAATAGGGGGGTGCATATATGTAAAAGTGCATTATGTCATTCTTAAACTATATATGGATACAAATGTGTGTAAAAACGTTCAAAAAGATATTTCTATGATTTCAAACATGCCAATCGAGTCCATATACAAAAATATAGTGATATTATTTAAGCATATTTACTTTTAAAACACATTCAATCTAAGTACTTTGACTTGTTATAGTAGTTCTTTTTTTTAAATAACTTAAGGGAATTGAATGTTTATTTATAAAAACACATACTTTATACTTTATAAAAATACTCAACTACCCTTACTTTATCAATTTTTATCTTCCCTTTCATACTTTTACACTTTCTCCTACTTTTTCTACACTATTTACTACACTTACTATTCTATCCTATTGTGGCAAAAGCAAATGTAGAGAACATATAAATGCGGAGGGAGTATTACATATACATTTTAAAAGTATATAAATTAGAAGTATAAAAAGAGTAAAAAAAATTCAAAATGCATAGATACTCAAACACATAATATAAAACAAAAATGTAGAATTCTTAAAAACGTAGAATATTCAAATAATTAGAAAAACACAAATAAATATAGATTTTACATTCCTATTTTTTTCTTTTTCATTTTTTTATTTTAGTAACTTTCATTGACTTATTGGAAAAATAAACTGCCACAATAAATTTTTCTTAGGATCTAAATTATAATATATGATGCTTGATTGGGGAGCATTTTTATCAAAGAAATTATGTACCCACACCAATAGAGAGCTACAAACAATTTCAATATAAACGTGATGCAAAAACTTGAAAAGCATATAATCTACATACTACATTGTTCAGATCCAAACAAGGTGGAAATGCATTATGTATAGAGCCCGTTTGGTGACTCTGCATTTCAGTTTATCAGGTTCACCGGTCAATTTTTTAGCCAAACACGTAACTTTTGATTTCATGTGTCCTATTGGTTGAAGTTACTGTAGATGATCAGTATACTTTTTTTTTTATTTTATCAATGGCATATATTTTAAGTATATATTTTCATGAATCAACAGAATCACACAATACAGGCATTAGTCAGAACTTCATAAATTTCAGCAGAATCAATCGATTTGAGTGTTACCAAACAGACTCCTAAAGCCTTATATGTTGTGAAAAACATCTTTATAAACAACATTATTACTGACATTAGTGATTTCTCCACCATCATTTAAATGAGATTTTTCAGAGGCCGTTTGACGAAACTGTTTTTCGGCTTATCAGCCAACTTTTTTCACAAAACTCGTAACTTTTGCTTTCGCGCACTGAATAAGAAGAAAAAGTAAGGTCGTAGTTACTTTTCTAGGTGTATTGACTGAACTTACTATAGATGATCATGTTAGCTATTTTTATTAATAAATTATAATTCTAAAATATTTTTCTTTTAAATCAACAGAATCAGCCAATGCAGCCACTTCATCCAGAACTTCGTAAATTTCAGAAGAATCGGCTAAATCAGTCAATTTTCATGTTACCAAACGGGCTCTCAGCCTACTACCATTTGTCACCCAGACAAAGCCACCTAGTAATAGGCCATGACTAAATAAAATCTACATACATACTTCGTACAAAGTTCAGTACATAATACTTATCACCCCTAGTCACTGTTTTTAAGCATCAATGATTTGTATTATTTCACTATTGCAGTTGACTTTCTCTTATTTAATGTAAGATTAGAGTAAAAAATTAGAAAATCAAGTTTACGGATTAAATAATTTATGATGAGATTCTATTCACGCATACTCCGTATTTCTCATTTTTGGGGAATTTATCGTCATTTTGGGCTAGTAATACGTGTGATGACAACCCAGCCCATCATTCCATAACCAAACAAACATGCAGGCTGGATCAGCCCAGCACAACCAAACTTGAAATAAGCTTAATCGTACACCTCTGCCTCCATCAACAATCACCGACAGCATGTGCTCTGAGGGATCAGATTTCATCTCCTCTAATTCATCTTCACCTCAACACTAACCGCCCCTCACACTAAATAGATCTAACCATTTCATCAACCGTTGGCCAATCACTGTCAACAACACGCAATCATGATCGTACTCACTCCGTTGACTCGGCGGCCGAATAACCATCACCACCACATATTGTCTCATAACTGGTCACAACTATAAAGTGGTGCAACCGGAAATTGAATCGGAGATCGCACACAACCTCACCTGTGCAGTGAAAGAACGTGAATGCCCAATTTCGGAGTCCGTCTGGTTTGGGAACAAAAAAGTTCTGGCAAAGATAAGTTTCTTGGGCTTGCTTTTAAAGACCAATCATTTAATCGAACTGCATGTCTAACACAAAATTGTTTGCATGATATATTTTTGCAAACATTATATTTTCAAATGCATTTAGAGACAAATTTTTATACAAATGCATTTAGAGTCATTTTTATACCAAACTTCACCATGAGATGAAAGTAGTGGAAATAGAATCTGCAAGTGATTTTTAAAATACAATTAATTATAAAAAGGAGAATACTTAAGCATTAACATGCAGTTGTTCTTAGCTAGTGACTACATGGATGAGAAGTTAAATAGTGAATGTATGTACATAGATACAAACCAAAATCTTCAGCTGATGATGGTGAACAGTTCTACTTTTATATATTTAAGTTGGCTCCATCATTGCTGAAAACTCACTGAAACACTTAACCATAGGCCAGTTGTAGTATTAAAAATGACGTTGAATCATCTTTAAATTGATTTTTCCATTCTGATATTTGTGGTTAATAATAATAATATCTTTTACACTTTTTAAAATTGCCGACTTGCTAAAACTTTTATATTGTACAGGAAGTTGATTGGCTGTTTTTTTGCCTTTGTATTTCATTAGCATTGTATTATTAAATTGATCCATCTGTGATCCTAGTTTGTGATGTAATAATTAGATATAGGATAGAAATAGGAAACCAAGGGCAACAACATATATTTCAGCCTTTCAGGTACGACTATGAAACTTGCATTCTACATTCCAAATGCAGTTAATAGTTATGCTACTGATGTTGTAGAGATGCTACGGCTCATTTAGTTAAGCCATATAAACAAACTATTGATAAAAAAGATAAAAAGAAATCAGGACCCCCTCATCATGAAATATTACTTCCAAATACTCTTGGGAAGCAATCATGTGCGGGTTATAACATCAGGACCTCCTCCACGTATAAATAAATTCTCAAAGTACTCCAGTTTTTCTTATGATGAGCTCTTCAAAATGCCCAACTCTATAGTGCCAGAGTTATCATCTTGATCTATGAATGCTTTCATTGTGTCTATGCAGCTAGTGCCATACTCCCTTTTGTTCAATTTTTGAAAGTAATATATATTGCTTCTTTTGCAACGTGAGCTTGATGTCCACCCATACAACTTGATAGTGATCTGAGAAGTCTAATGCAGAAGTTTTGCTTTTATAGATGAACGTTATGATAGTACTTGCTGGGAATGAGATACACCCAATCTCTCATTTACTGTTCAAACCACCCACTTCCACCAATAGGAAATAACAATCTAAACAGTAAATAAACATCAATCAGCAATTCTTTTTTTCAACTGTGCACACCTCCTTTATAGACCAATTAGGAATTCCACAAACATAGTTAGACTATGCGCACCTTTTTTTAGACCAATAGGAATTCACGAACAACTGTGTGCACCTTTTTTTGGACCAATATCAATATTTTAAATATATTTCACATCTGCCCACCTCTTTCTGGACCAATAGAAATGGCTTAAACTCAATCCTTCATGTCTTAACTGACTAATATATTTGTGTATTACATTATTTTGCTATTTATTTTGACAAACAAATAAATAAGGATTGATGTTGACATTTTTTGGAGGGAACCCTATTCACAAAAATCTTTTGCTTTTATATTTAGATACTCCCTCCGTCCCTGAATTATCTTCAAACTTTCCTTTTTCGTCCGTCCCAAAATTATCTCCTCCTTCCCTTTTTGACAAAGAATTTGTGGTTCACAATCATTCTTACACATTTCTCTCTCCTCTGCACAACTCTCCACCACACAAAACCCACTATCTTAATAAGTGTGCCCAGCCGAAATGAGAGATAAAATAGGGACGGAGGGAGTAGATTATATGGTTGGAGACTTATAACCAAAAATATGGTTGAAGACAAATGATTTATTTTGTATAAAATGTAGTGATTATAAACAAAGTGTGTTGAATCATTATTAAATTTATGATGATATTTGAGTGTATTAATATGAAGGGTTAAATTTTTTAATTATTTGTTTTTATTAATAATTAATCGATGGTTGTGAATAGAAAATTGGGGGCTGTGAATAGAATTGCCCTAAGTTATCTTGGGAATATTTCACAAATAACCAAAAATATTAAAATAATACTCTCCTATGTCCTAATATAACAAAAGAAAAATCATTTTTCATTTGTCTCAATATAAATTTATCTTTTCATTTTTTACAAAGAATTCGTGCTTCAAAGTATTTTTCCCAACATCCTTTCTCCTGTGTACAATTTTAAGTCACATTTTCACTTTCTTAATTTGTGTGCAAAGTAAAAAAAAAGAGTTTTTATTGGGACAGAGGGAATATCACAATTTTCATTTTGAAAGTTTTTTTCGAAAATAGCTTAATCAAAGTTTTATTTATAATAATAGACTCGAAGCCTTAATTAACACCCTAATGTTAGAATTTTAATCTTGGTATGTTCCATTTGTACTCAATCCTACCACTAATGGAAATGATGAATTCAAAATAGAATCATAATAACAAATGTTACAAAGTATTGAGGTTAATTTCAACACGAGATTTAGCATGTAATTCTATAAAATCATAGCTCAAGAATGATACATGTATTTTTTACGTGTAGACCCGAAAGAATGAAAACTACAAGACTTCTCGTGCTAAATCCAAGTCTACTGTCATTTTAATAATATCCCTCACATATGATTGAAACATAGTTTAAGAGCTCCCCCATCAATGGAGTTCGCAAGCTAATATAGAGTTGGGGAGTAATGGGAAAGAAGGAGCTACCTTACGGAGAGAGAAGAGGATTCTCACATATAGAGAGAAACCTCATATTTATAGAAAAAGGGGGGAGGAGTACATATTTACCCTAATCATCCGAAGTAGGCCTAATTTATCGGGCTTCGTACGAGCTAGTGTTGGGTTCTGATATGTAATAGGTTGGGGTTCAATATCCGAAAACAAGTCTATCAGTTTCTTAAGTAGTGATCATGTGAATCTGCTCAAGAAATTACACATGTGCTCTGACGGGCACTTTGTCCAGTGCGTCAAATTTAATCGATACTAGCACTTATACGTAGTATAGGTGAAGTAGAGTTCGTATCCACAGGGAAAGGAATAATTCTCTTTTTATGAAACTAGTAAATAAAAAGGGGGTTTTGGTATTGAATGATTTAATTAACTTAAAAACTAAGATGAACGACTTACATGAGATTTAATTCAAAGATAAAAAGGACTTGGCATTGCTACTTTCCACTTGTTGATATATTTTAGTCGATCGTTGTTATATCTATAACTTATTCCCTCTCAAATACTCAATCGAGGAGTATATCCAATTCATCGAGGGTAGTTATTAACAACGACCGTTCATTAATAACCATTACTATTAGTCAAGTATAGAACATTGCCATATACCGACTTGATAGTAGCTTTTAATCTTTTAACTCCTTGATGAAATCAATTGAGATTGATAACCTCAACACAATGGTTTCAGTTTAACCAACAAAATTAATCCCTCTTAAGTTTATCAACCACGACCATGCATTAATAAACCGAAGTTACTTACTTGTGAAACCATCAACGATTAACCATCGGTTCGTCGATCATTTCTAGTAATAATTAATATATGAAACAAAACTAGTTGATCTTTTAAGTGATGTTCAAAATATTAATATGAAATATGAATAGGAATTAATTAATATTCAAGGAAGAATATTATTAAAGGAGATGAATCCTACTATAATTAATATCAAGATGTTAACTAATTGTCATCTTAGCAACACCCCTCAACATTAATATAGAGGAAGAAAATACTATTCTAACTAATGTCAAGATGTTAACTAATTGTCATCTTAGCAACACTCCCCAACATTAATATAGAGATAGTATTTAGGAAAGAACTAATAATTAATATTCAAGGAAAGAAGTTAAGAAAATAACTCACAACTTTAATAATCAACAAGCTTCAAGAGCAACACCAAGAATGGAAGTTTAGCTCCTCATTTGGAGACTAAACATAGCCAGAAAAATATAAAGAAATGATATTCTAAATTGAGCTTAAGAGTATGGAAGAAGGGATGATTTTAGAGAAGAAAAAGTGTGCTATTTATAGGTGTTTTTTCAACACCTTTGGCCGGGTACCCGACTGGGTCAAGTCCCCACCCGACCGGGTCCGGTCAAAATCAGATAACATACACGTTCTGGTGATCTTTGGCACATTAAAATTTCCCGGGTCAAGTCAGACCCGACCGGGTGCAATACCTCACCCGACCGGGTCCAGCTCTTTCCTCAGCAATTCAGTTTTCAAATCAGACCTGACCGGGTGAAGTCTTCTACCCGGTCGGGTTTCGCTCCTGGGCAGTCAAATTTCTTGTTTTCTTCTCTTCAAAGTTCTCTTTTCCAACACCAAAAATCCTAAATCTACTTCACAACTTATAAATGAAGATTAAAATACAATTACAACTAAAAACACACAAATGTTTACAAACTAAATAAAACGATAAACAATACACACAAATCCAACATAAAAACATACACTTATGCACTACTAATTAGTGCATATCAAACACACCCACATTTAAACCTTTACTCGTCTCGAGTAAATCAAATCCAGTCCAAGACGTCCTTAAAATGAAAAGAGTATCAACACAAAAATCCAAGAGTGTTTTTAGAAACACATAAAGTATATCCCCAAAAATATAACAGTAAAGAGGGGTCTTCAACTCCATATTTCTTATGATCTTGCAGAAATAAAAGAAAATATTTTCTCTCATTCTCTCATTTTGCCTAGGTGCCCTTTCGGGTTTTATTCCCAGCTTCCCACATTTTTCTATTTTAATCCTCACAACTCACTCTTATTTTTGCTTTATTTTTGCTTAAGTTGCCCTTTCAGGTTTTCAACTTAACAAGCTTTTATTAATTTTGATGGAGTATATGGGTCTAGGGCCCAGGACCCACATACTCAGAACAGAAAGCACAGCCACTACGCGGTGCCCTCGTCGGCCAAAGACCCTCGTCGGCCGAAGAAGGACCAACTCAGGATATGATCCTGAAGCCAAGGAACCAGGGTGTCCACATCGGCTGTACCCTCATCGGTCGTGCCCTCGTCGGCCAAGATCCTCGTCGGCCACGGAAGTCTCACAGAATCGGATTTTACACTTATTCATTTATATAGCCCACCAGTGGCTCTGTATTCGGCCCAATAGCGGTCCGGTTGTAAATGGGCCTCCCAAGCCCAAGGCTTGGGCGCCCAGTCCGTATTTTTCCTATAAATACTTCCTCTAGAGGTATTTATAGGGGTTACAAATTCATTCTATTGAAGCATTTCTTGCACTTCTCTCTCTAGCTCTCACTTCTCTCTAGATATATACGCTATCATTTGGTGCTTTCATTGAGAGCTAGAACAATCAAGTTAGCACCCTTCGTCGCTACCAAGCACAGCTAACCACTGATCATGGGAAGAACAAAGTCAAACCGCAACCTCGTCAGCAAGGCCATCCCTGAAGACCAGGAGACCAGGGAGCATGAAGAGGACGCTACGGCTGACCAGGTCGGCGGAGGAGACGTCTTCCAGGAGGCCATCAACCTCACGACGAACCTCCGCCACCAACTCAACGGCGGAGCCCCTGATGCCCGCATCGGCCTGGACAAGAAACGCGCTGAGAAGACAGACCACGCCCCGGCCCAGCCTATGGCTGTGGCTTCTCTGTCTGTGGATCCACAGGTCCAGGCCGCGTTGTCGGTCATCATCGCCAGCTTGGCCCAGAACCCCACCGTCCTTAGCGCACTCTTGCCAAGGACTGGGGGGAACGTCACTCCACCTCCTCAGCCCCAACCGTTGGCCGTCAGGTTAGGCAACGATGAGGGGGTGATGGCCCAGGACACGGCGTCGTCCCACTCCCACCCCGCTTCCCCTATTCGGCCTGGGCAGACCCCAGCGCGTGGAAAAGCCTCTGCCTTCAATAGGCTAGGTGACACGCGCCGTCGTCCGGTCTCGGAGAGGATGGCAGGGCGGATTGGTGAGCGTCGGCCTGGCTCGCCAAGGGAAAGCTTGGGGTCTGTATCCCGGACAGTGGACCAGCCCCGCCCGGACAAGGGCAAGGGAAAGTTGCACGAGGACGACGTGCGCCACCAGATCAATGTGGCCCACGACGAGCGCATGATGAACCAGCAGGGTGCTGCTGCGGCCGCCAGGGACCCCTAGGATGAGGTCATCGCCCAGTTGGAAAGGAGGCTGGCCCAGATGGAGGCCAGACAATCAGCGAACATCCCCATGGCCGGCGCCTCCAACGACCCTGGCCTCAACGCTCTCATGAACAAGGTCAGCGCCCTTGAGAGGGAGTTGGCCGAAGGGCGAGGTGATCCCGTCATCCAGGTCAGGACCAGGACCCCTTTCACCAACAGGGTGCTCTCGGCTCCCATCCCGGAGAAGTACAGGGGAAACGCCATCAAGTCCTATGATGGCCGATCAGACGCCAGGAGCACTTCAGCCGCTATCAGAACAACATGTTGATGGTGAACGCGTCGGATGAATATCTTTGCCGTTGGTTCCTCTCTACTCTCGAGGGGCCGGCGTATGAGTGGTTCAACGCGCTCCCCGAAGGAAGTATTGACTCATGGCAAGACCTTGCCCAGCGCTTCCTCACCCATTGCCGGGAGGAAGCGTGCGAAGAAGGATTTCACCCATCTCCTCTCCATCAAGCAGCAACATGACGAACCCCTCCGGTCATTCATTGATCGGTGGACGAGGGAGACCGAAGAAGTTGAGGGGGCCGATGAGCGCACCCTCCTCGTCCTGTACCAGGGAGCCCTCCGCAGCTCCCCGTACGCCAGGAGCCTCATCACCGACCCTCCAAGGTCGTACGCAAAGGTGCTCCAGCGCGGGAGCTTGTACGCTGACGCCGACGTGCTCCACAACCACAAGAAAGAGGGAGGCCATCCCTCCAAGAAGACAAATCCTTCGCCGGCCCCGGGACCATCCCTGGCCGGCCAGGGTGCCCAGGGCGGTCACGGCTCTGGTGGACATAGTAAGAAAGACCGCCACTGGCGGCCGAGGTTGGAACGGCCGGGGGTCCCCCTCACCCACCCGGTCAGCACCATCCTCGACTACGCCGAGAAGCATGGCCTCATTGAGCAGGCTCCTCGGCCGGCCGAGGAGGTCCTTGCCATCCAGCAGGGCGGCACATACTGCCGATTTCACAAGAACTCCTCGCACAGCACCGACGACTGCACCACGCTAAAGAAAGCCATCGAGCGCCTTATTCGTCAGGGGAACTCGCCCAATTTGTTAAAGGTGGCCCACGTAAAAATACGTGGGTAAACACCGGCAAACCTGGGGGCGAACCCTCTACGAAGAAGCGGGAGATCGGCAGGCTCAGCGACGACGAGGACTTTGAAGAGCCTCCGCCAAAGAAGAATCATATTCACCTCATTGTAGGTGGGAACATCGGGGGGGACTCCGTCACCCAGAGGAAGAAATGGGCCCAATCCCTCTACATTGGGGAGGTGTCCCACATTTCCCCCCAGCCGAAGAAACAGCGAACGGAGGCGATCACCTTCAACGACAAGGATCTGCCTCCGGGTACGGAATCACATAGGGACGCCCTCGTCATCCGGTGTGAGATCGGTGACTCCATCATCCACCGCACTTACATCGATACGGGGAGCTCCGTCAATGTGATGCACCTGGACACCTTCAGGCAGCTGAAGCTGGACAAAGCTCTGCTGAAGCCGATGAAGACACCGTTGTCCGGCTTCACCGGGGACTCTATCGACGCCGAGGGCACGATAGTCCTCCCCGTGGAGGTCGGCGACGGCCCCCACCGCGCCAAAATTGACATGGAGTTCATGGTGGTCAACCTCCAGTGCGCCCACAACCTGATCTTGGGGCGGCCAGCACTGGAGGACTTAGAGGCCATCATCTCCATGAAGCACTTGTGTCAAAGGAAGTTGACCAAGTAAATCATAACACTTAGAACAAATTCTGAAGAAAGCAAAGGCAAAGGAAGAGGCAAAACACCGGGTACCTTCATCGGTCATACTGTCCAACTTGGCCGACGACGATACTACGCAGAGAAAGTTACATGGCCTAAAAATTGGGCAATCTCCTCAACGAGGGAGCAGCTCAAGACGAAGCGGGAACTCAAATACCTATAGGTGCCCTTCTCGGCCTCGCCAAAGACCGGTAAGGTCTTGCTAACCGAGAAAGACACTACAACTAAGGCGGTTGCTCAAGTTGCCACTTAGTGGACTTCAAACACTTAGAGAGTTTCCCGGAAAACACAAATATCAAAGGTGTGGCCGACAAGGGTAACAGACAGAGAAAACTACAACTCCCAAGCACTTAGACGAAGGGGGCACCTAAAACAATTGAAGGCACCCTCTTCGGCCCGGGTGTCCGTATCGGCTGCCTATTTGGAAGATTTTCTAAAGCTATGACTGACATTTTATACTTAGGAAATTTTCCAAAAATTCTCTAAGTATTTTGGCAACAAGACGAGGCAAACACTCACATGGGGACGTCGTACAAACACGGAAAGAAAAGAAGGCAAAAATATCAAAGTATGAAAGACGAAGCATTTTCATTCATGAATCAGGAAAGTACAAAGTGGGCTTCTGGGCCGTTACATAGTTAAAAGTCAGAAAAAAAAAACAATACAAGGAATCATGGCTCTGGAGGGGCTTCAGAGTCCTTCTCGGCATCGGCTCCCTCTTCGGCCTGGGCAGCAGACATACCGGCAGCAATACCCGACGTCGCGGTATCCTCAAACATACTTGGTTCATAGGCCCAATCGTCGCTGACGCGAGAACTCTCAATGGGAAGCTGTCGATCAGCCACCGGGAGCTCCAACTCCGCTTCAGGATGCCTCATCAATGAAGGCAGCTCAAGGCCGACGGCCCACTCCTTGGCCACACCCATATCCAGGAAACGTCGCTGAAGCCTCCTGTACAACAGCCGTTGCATCCGGTACTGACCAAGGTCGTAGAAGATTTTCATCTCCTTCTCCCAGTACGCCTGGCCGTCGAGAGATTGGGTCACCCAGTCAACAAGCCTGGCCGCCACGACCTCAAAGCACCAGGAGAGCCGGTCCTCGTCCTTCCAGCCGATTTCGAGGAACTTCTGCACAGCTGCCTCAGCAGCTTTCTCCTCGGCGGCACTAAGGGCCAGCTCCGCACTGGCCTTACCCTTCTCGGCCTCCTCCGCACGCCGAAGGGCCTCGTCACGAACACGCTCCATATCGGCCAAGCGTCGGAGGGCCCCTTCCTTCTCAGTGGCCAGCTGATCGGCCTCGTCAACCCTCTTTTTCAGGCTTTCAACTTCAAGCCGCAGCCTCTCCAAGCTGCCCAGCGCCTCGTCGGCCGAGGCCACCCTTTGCTCAAATTGCTTCAGGCAAGCAATCTCCTTTTGCTGCCTCATGTTGCTTTCCATCAACATGAAGGCGCCCTGCGGTACAATATGGGTTAGACGAAAACATCGCATAACAAAAAAAAAAGAAGAAAAGCAGACGAAGCGGACGTGAGTACTTACTTGGACGATGTGGTCCATCCCACCATCGTACATCTTAACATGGCCGAGCTTCTTCAGGTAAGCCCGGTCCTCGTCACGGATGGCCTGGGAGATCACCTCGTGGCCGTCAACGATCTCGTTGAACAGCCCCCCTTTGACATGGGTACTCCACTTCAAGCTTGTAGGTCCCTTTGACCAGCTCTCGGTCGGACCCTTTCTTCCGGGTGGCCGTTACGGCAGCAGGAACGGTGGACAGAGTGGTGGACGAAGGGCCCGAAGGGTGGTCCACCAAAGCATCGACATTGAAACCCCCTCCGTCCCCAGAGGGAACAGCCGACGTCCCGGCATCACCGGCAGAGGAAGCTCTCTTCGACTTCTTGGGGGGGCTTCAGTCCCGCCTCGGTCAACTTCTTTTGGCCCTCATCGGCCTGCCGTTTCTTCTTCGGCTGCACTGGGGGCTTGGCCGCAGGGGCAGCACCAGGATGTTGGGCCTTCAGCTCCTCGGCCGCTTTAAGTTGTGCCCTCTTCATAAAGCACATATGATCCATGACGAAACCTGCACCAGGAAAAAAAAACACTAAGGGTCAGCAAACAGAGAATACAAAAGTACGACGAGAAGAAGTGCATCAGAAAGGAATTACCATCGTCCTCAGCTGGCACCCCCAGATCGGGACCATCAGCCTCCTCGTAAGACGTGGTCATCTTCGGCCACAACTCCACATCGTCGTCATTGTCACCGTACACAAAATACCGTACGAAGCCGAGGGCGGCCATTTTGTACTCGGTAATGTACGTCTTCACACTCCTCGGCGCTCCCTTCAGGAAAGCCTCAACCTGAGCGTCCAGGATGGAGCTCCTCGGCGTGTCATGAAGATTAAACCGCCCGCTATGGCCGACGGAGGGAAACTCTACGCCCCCTTCACCCAATGACACGAACACAAACTTCCCTTTCCAACCATGGATGGACGTCGGCAGGTCTGTGAAACTCCTCTTCTTGGGGAGTTGTTGAAGAGTGGCATACGACGCACAGTTCTGATGACTTCCGCGGCCTATCTGATATAGGTTCATAAACAGCGCCGTCGTCGGCCTGAAATCCAATTCAGCACACCGCAAGAGGAAGTCGACGATGAGCGAGTAGCTATTCGGCGTTAACAAGACCGGAGGGAGTCCCACCATATCTAGGTACTCGGTAATAAAGGGATGAAGTGGGAACCTAAGTCCTTTGGCAAAGCTCATCGGGTACACTCCAAAGTAGCCCGGGGGTGGATTAAGGACATGGTCCGTCGGCCTGGGGGCCCTAACCCTACCATACGGCCCCACATACATCTGTGAAACCAGGTATTCACCCGCATTACTCTGGGGCCAGATAATGTAGATATTCGTCAGATCCAAGTAAGAGAAGGCTGACCCTCTCTTCGGCCTCCTCACCCTCTTCGGCGGCGCAACACCCTTCACAGCAGACACCGGTTTTGGGCATGGAATGGCAGCCGACGTGGACGCCCCATGGGCAGTTCGGGAGACCCCTACGTCCCCACCTCCAGACGATGACGCAGACTCCTCATCCTCACCGTCCTCATCATCCTGCTCCCCGGATTTGAACGAGCTCAGATTCTCAAGCTCCTCACAGAACTCCTCGACCACTTCATAATCAAGGGACTTGGTGGAGGGCTCGTCGTCGTAGGGGTAGTACTCTTCGTTGAAGTCTTTCATCTTAAACACTATTTCGAGTATACTGCAGGCTACTTCGAGATCTAAGGGTGTTCAAACGCCTAACACTAGATCACTAGCCTAGGAAGCAAAATATGCAAAGTACAGAGAGATTTCGATGAACACTAACCTTGAAGAACACGAAGAACACGAAGAACACAAGCTTGAAAGTTCATCTCTCTAGGAATTTGGCCAGCACTTCGATAGCTCAGATTGCAAATGAGAGCTCTCGTCGGATAGAGAGGGGTATTTATAGAACCCCCTACCCAACGGTCACTACACGTGGCACCCTCCCAGTGGCCACACCAACGGCCACCAACGGGAGGCCACCACGTCATCAATGGGCCAAGCCCAATCTACAGATCAAAAGCCCACTGGCAAAGCAGGCTCTACGGAACGGGAAATGGGAGAATAACACCCACAACGGCCAGGGGACTCAATGGCCAACAACAGACAACGGTAACCCCACAGCACCCGTATCGGCCATCTAGATGGCCACAATATCCCAAAGGAAAGGAACATAACGGCCACGAGGCCCTCACACTAAATCCTTGATGATAACCCTTTGAAAGCGACCTGCGTCCAAGGGTTCTCCCACAGGGTTACCTTGGTCAGGAAATCGCCAAAGGGTTGGATTCAAGGGTAGTATGAGGATCCCACTTCGGCCTAAGTTTCAATCTACTCCTTCACCCCTCACTCACTCTTCGGCCTGAAGCAGTGGGGGACTGGGGGACTACATCGGCCTCAAGAATAACAGGCAAAATCAAAAGAAATCCAAAAATACACCAAGTCCACAACTACAACATCAGACATGCACCACAACGTCCATAACATCATGGTGCACCTTCGGCCATAGCAAGCTTGATATCACAGAACACTTATCGGCCTTGAAACCACACATCACTCTCAAGCCAGGAATCAAGAGAAAGGTTAACATACCTAAATCACTGTCGTCCATATACCGCAACGGCCCCGAGTTCCTCACAACTTCATATACGGCCAGACAGTGTTATCATCCCCAAAACCTTGGGCAATATGACCCCTGGTCGTCCAAAAACACAGGGCATCATCTACAACGGCCAAAAGGAATGCGCAGTGCCCTCATCGGCCACCCAAAGCAAAGACGCAACCCCTACGGCCTCACCAGCCCAAAAGGGAAACTTAACTAGTCAACAACCAAGGATAGACACTACCTTCATCGACCACTCGTGCCAGAACACTCATCATCCAACAAACAAAGCACACCAAAGGAACAATAGCCTTCCCCGTCTGCATCAGGGGGCAGGCAACGGCCAAACTCAGAACAGGGCCACCAGACGCCGCAACAGGGAACGGCCAACGTGGTCCCGCATCGGCCAAGAAGCATCAAGCACAGAAATCTACTCCCTCACTTCGTCTACATCTCAGCTTAGAGAGTGGGGAACTCCTGATGGAGTATATGGGTCTAGGCCCCAGGACCCACATACTCAGAACAGAAAGCACAGCCACTACGCGGTGCCCTCGTCGGCCAAAGACCCTCGTCGGCCGAAGAAGGACCAACTCAGGATATGATCCTGAAGCCAAGGAACCAGGGTGTCCTCATCGGCCGTGCCCTCATCGGTCGTGCCCTCGTCGGCCAAGATCCTCGTCGGCCACGGAAGTCTCACAGAACCGAATTTTACACTTATTCATTTATATAGCCCACCAGTGGCTCTGTATTCGGCCCAATAGCGGTCCAGTTGTAAATGGCCCTCCCAAGCCCAAGGCTTGGGAGCCCAGCCCGTATTTTTCCTATAAATACTTCCTCTGGAGGTAGTTATAGGGGTTACAATTTCATTCTATTGAAGCATTTCTTGCACTTCTCTCTCTAGCTCTCACTTCTCTCTAGATATATATGCTATCAATTTTTTTTAACAAGAACAAAGAGTATGAATGTGAGTATTCCATAAAACTCTCCCCCAAGCTAATCAAAGCACTGTCTCTAGTGCTTGTGTCCGAGATGTCCAATAGAATGAATCCCTTTGCCCTTTTGGTGTCATTTATTTTCTTTTTGGTTGAGGAAATTTCGGCTTTTGTTGTTTGTGGAGTAAGGGGATTTGGATTTTTGGTTATTTGGAAGCTTTTTGTTTTTTTTGTGGGTGCAGTGGTGAAGAGGGTGATGAGGAGATGAAGAAAAAGGGTTTATTTGGTTGATTTGGTGGATAAAATGGTGGAAAAGGAGTATGGGTTTGGAATTTGGATGAAGTGAGGAAGAGGGTGGTGTGTCCGCCCCTTATCGAGCGTTTACCAGTTTGCCCCGCCGGGTAGATTAAGGGACCCGGTCGGGCCTAAGTGCTCGCTATCCAGAGAGTGTTTTAACAAAAACACTCGGCCGGGTATATTTGTTGACCCGATCGGGTTATTTGCTTCAGGGGCCGGGTCTTTGCCAAAAAAATGTCCGCCCGAGCGAGGTTGTGCGGGTAGGGTATTTTTACTCTATACCCGACCAGGTGTAGTGTGGTATCCGACCGGGCATGTTCCCCAGACTTCAATTTTTTTTGAAGGGTAAACTTAAACTAGAATAAAAAGTAAACGTACCTTACATGGGTTGCCTCCCAAGAAGCGCCTTATTTAACGTCACGGCACGACGCTATCATTATGTTCAGTCATTCAAACTTGGATCATGATAGTTTATCTTCTTCACACTTTCACTCCTAGGACTTCCATAGGAATGCTCAATTTCTCGACTCTTCACTTTGAAAATCCCTCCAGGATCAAATATCCAGATTTTCATTGATTCATGTGGTGGGAGTGAGAGAAAGAAATTGTTGTTTAACATGGTCAATGGAAAATGTTTGGATCCCTCAATTTTGCTGAGAATTTCAAAAATGTCACTTTCCTTTTCAATTTTATGAGTTTCCCTCAAAGTTTTTACTTTTTAGAACTAATGGGGGTACCTCAAAGAATGATAAGGATAGGTATTTGACCTTGAAACTTGGTTCATCCTCTTTTTTGACCAGCTGGAGCTCCGTGTCTTTTTCTTCTTCTACTTCTTCTGGATTCTGGATCTCCTTTTGCATTTCCTTTTCATTTGTCAATGTGATTGCAAAAGTTTGCTGTTTAGGATCACATTCTATTTGAGAAGGAAGTTTTTCCGAATCCCTTGCTTCAAGCCTACTCACGGCTCCGGCTATTTGACTCATTTGAGTTTCCAAGTTTAAAATGCTAGACTTGGTCTCATTTTGGAATTGCACCATGTTGTTTTGCATGGTGGTCATGTTGGTAGCAATAGCCCGGACCATATCTTCCGTAGGCATGTTAGAGTTGGAGAACAGATCATACCTCATGTGAGGTACATCCCTTTCATAACCAACATCATCAATTTGTTCAAGGTATTCATCTTGGAGCTTTGGGCAGAAATTCGTAAGATGCCCGTGAGACATTCAAATGTTGCACGTCTTGACATCTTGAGCTTTTGAGCTTAAGGTAAATTCCTTTATTAGAGAAGTCAAGAAGGAAATTTGACTCTCTAAGGATGAAGTGTTGGTATCCATATACTCATAACTCATGTAAGCTCAGAAAATAGAAGAGTAAGTTTTTTTTATGTTTTTTTTGTTTTTGATTTTTATGAGATAAAATAAAAAGAAAAATAATTGCCTTTCTCCGGCAGCGACGCCAAATTTGACGGGCACTTTGTCACGGTGCGTCAAATTTAATCGATACTAACACTTATACGTAGTATAGGTGAAGTAGAGTTCGTATCCACGGGGAAAGGAATAATTCTCTTTTTATGAAACTAGTAAATAAAAAGGGGGGTTTTGGTATTGAATGATTCAATTAACTTAAAAACTAAGATGAACGACTTATATGAGATTTAATTCAACGATAAAAAGGACTTGGCATTGCTACTTTCCACTTGTTGATGTATTTTAGTCGATCATCGTTATATCTATAACTTATTCCCTCTCGAATACTCAATCGAGGAGTATATCCAATTCATCGAGGGTAGTTATTAATAACGACCGTTCATTAATAACCCTTACTATTAGTCAAGTATAGAACACCGCCATATACCGACTTGATAGTAGCTTTTAATCTTTTAACTCCTTGATGAAATCAATTGAGATTGATAACCTCAACACAACGGTTTCAGTTTAACCAACAAAATTAATCTCTCTTAAGTTTATCAACCACAACCGTGCATTAATAAACCGAAATTACTTACTTGTGAAACCATCAACGATTAACCATCGGTTCGTCGATAGTTTATAATAATAATTAATATATGAAACAAAACTAGTTGATCCTTTAAGTGATGTTGAAAATATTAATATGAAATATGAAAAGGAATGAATTAATATTCAAGGAAGAATATTATTAAAGGAGATGAATCCTACTATAATTAATATCAAGATGTTAACTAATTGTCATCTTAGCAACACTCCCCAACATTAATATAGAGGAAGAAAATACTATTCTAACTAATGTCAAGATGTTAACTAATTGTCATCTTAGCAACACTCCCCAACATTAATATAGAGATAGTATTTAGGAAAGAACTAATAATTAATATTCAAGGAAAGAAGTTAAGAAAATAACTCACAACTTTAATAATCAACAAGCTTCAAGAGCAACACCAAGAATGGAAGTTTAGGTCCTCATTTGGAGACTAAACATAGCTAGAAAAATATAAAGAAATGCTATTCTAAACTGAGCTTAATAGTATGGAAGAAGGGGTGATTTTTAGAGACGAAAAAGTGTGCTATTTATAGGTGTTTTTCAACACCTTTGGCCGGGTACCTGATTGGGTCAAGTCCCCACCTGACCGGGTCCGGTCAAAATCAGATATCCTCCACATTCAGGTGATCTTCGCCACGTTAAAATGTCCCAGGTCAAGTCAGACCCGACCGGGTGCAATACCTCACCCGACCGGGTCCAGCTCTTTCTCAGCAATTCGGTTTTCAAATCAGACTCGACCGGGTGAAGTCTTCTACCCGGTCGGGTTTTGCTCCTGGGCAGTCAAATTTCTTGTTTTCTTCTCTTCAAAGTCCTCTTTTCCAACACCAAAAATCCTAAATCTACTTTACAACTTATAAATGAAGATTAAAATACAATTACAACTAAAATCACACGAATGTTTACAAACTAAATAAAACGATAAACAATACACACAAATCCAAAATAAAAACATACACTTATGCACTACTAATTAGTGCATATCATGCTCATGTTCTGCCCCTGTCTTCCTAGAATCTGTATCTTTGTGTTGTCTTGTTTAGTCAGTGGGCGTTTACCCCTCTCAATAGAGCAATAAGGTGAGATGCTCTCCCTCTCGGCTAGTATAGAGTAGGCAAGGGGATGCTCTCCCCTTGGCGTTGTTCCTCCTGACTGTAAAACGTGAGGGTAAAGAGATTTGGCTCGGGCTGCAGTAGACCCATTGTAGTCCTCTTTGCCATACGAGGAGGCTTTTACATCGTATCTCATCTGTTGCTCGTACTCTGTCCGCCACAAGGCCTTGGTAGTTTGTGACATACTTTTGGTGGTTGGTCTTAAGCACTTTCATGACTCTAGAGAGAGCAGTGTCACATTTTGTTATAAGGCGTTGAACTTGTAAGCTCACAGCTGGTTGTGAGGCATAAGCCAATGGTTGCCATCCTAGAAGGGATTAGGCAAGGCTGATCGGAAATTGGAGACGATAGCGCTGAGAAGCCGATCGTGCTCCATAAGACAGCAGTCACCATCCTAAAAGAGAATGAGCGAACTCGACTGTAAGCTGGAGAGGACAATGTTGAGAGACCGGTCGTGTTGCATAAGACGAAAATGCCATCCCAAAAGGGAATGAGTGATTCTGGCCATAAGCTCGAGATGACGACGCTAAGGGGCCAGTCATGCTCCATAAGACGGCAGTCCGTGCGTATGAGTCCTTTCATGCTCATTCTGTTTCCTAACGCATCACATTTTGATTTTTGGGGGAAAGTCATTCGTTTGAGCACCGCTCATGTATTCAAATTTCGAGCCCCACATGGCAAGATAACCTCTGGGTTTGGGCTTCGAGCCACACTGTATCGAGCAGTTTTGTCACTTAATTGTTATTCATATTTTCTATAAGGACTGTTGTACTTTATTTCTTTGGGGGCTGGGTCATCTGTTTGAAGCACCACTCATGGATTTGATATTTCCTTCGGAGGCCGGGTTATGGCCTTACTTGGTGGGTCGCGATTCCACATTGAGTCCAACACTATGGTCTAGCACTGACAGTCCGTTGGTGGGCATGTTCTATGTTTGATGCTTTGACTAATGTGAAGGTACAAGGGAATGAGGATTATCTTACTCCATTTCACAGCATCTCCACTCATCTCAAGGAGTGAGGGACCAGGGGACTCACTATGTTCAAGGAAGCAAAGGATGATCGTGTGCAAAAGAAAATCAAGGTTGAGCTCGTATGATCGAGCGTGAGGATACAAGACTAGGAGACAAACACATTATGTACCACATCAAACCGGTCTTAGCCATCCTCCTCAAGGATGACAATTGTTGCTTACTTGAAGATCTATATCAATCATCCTCTTCGGATGGCCTCCCAGCTCGGTGAATGTCCACTTTCTTCCAACACCCACTTTGAAGGAGATGTACTTTTTCCCTGACTCAGAATTTTTCTCACAAGGTTCTTCCTAGCGTTTTTTTAATGAGGCATCACCTCATCACATGCAAGGGCGAAGATCCTTTCTGAATCGCAAGCAATGCATCAAGAGCAATGACAGTAGTTTAGAGAGCACTTAGACTACTCTATATCACCTCAAAGGCTTCTCGAGTTAGGGAGTGGGTTACTGCTGATCGATTTATACTATCCCGTACTAGGAATATCTAGACTAGCATCTTTTGTATTGGGCCTAGCTTATGAGATTAGTTCCGGTCCATGATATTGTCTAAGCCCATAAGGTCTTTTCTATATATAACCTTGTATTGTAAAAGGACTCATTCATTCTAATTAGGCCTGGACTTAGAACCACAAAATCAGGAATCTGAACCGATATCATCAGTTCATTTCGGCTCCTAAAATTTTTTGCTTGACTATTTTTTGGTTCGATTAATATATTTACTTATACCTAATACATTTATACGGTTCGGTTTCAGTTCTAACCAATACTTAGAGAAATCGATAAAGTTCATATATACATAACATATATACCCTTAATAAAAAGATATATACCCATAAGTTTCATCAACATTCATGTGTACATATGGGTATTAAAAAAGAAAGATTGTCTATAGATCGTCTTGACGTGACGCACCTCCCATCGTTTTGTTTAATTTTTCGAACACTTTTGAAAATCATTGTGCATCGGCTTCCTTTGGCGATTTTTAACAACCTTAGGCGCCTGACCCGTCCACTGGTAACAAAATTAAAACACATAGGTTGATTTGTTAGAGAATGAAGCACATGCCCTTATATGAATACGAGCAATGGTACATATATTTCTTCACACGTTTCCCAAAAATATGTCATGCATATATACTTTGAGTCTATGACATATGGTGAAATCAAGCGATGCTTATAGATCTAACTGGCGTCATTTTATTTAGATATTTCTTTAATCCATGTGACATATGGCTAAAATTCAATCCAATTTTGGTGTAGATTATAAGGCAATTCACTACTATACTATGATAGTGCAATGCTTAGAGAATCTCCAATGCTATAATGTGCATGGTGCACATGGGGGGTCATCCTTAGAGATGATAGAGGGAACTTGTTGATGGTTATATCCTTTTCGATTATAGCAAGCACAGTTATACAAGCCGAGCTTCAAGCGCTTTATGCCGCTCTAAAATGGTGCAAAGGTCAAGGCTTTCAGGACTTCCAACTTGAAACTGATTGTGAGATGGTAATCAAAGCTTTGAAAGGTGTTCAAAGACCACCTTTCCATCTGCTGCATACGATTGAACAGGTTCAGAAGATATGTGAGGAATTGGGTGTGTATCAGTTAAGGCATATCTATAGGGAAATCAATTTAGCAGTTCATGCTTTAGCCTAGGATGACATACATCTTAGTCAACTTATTTTTTTAACAACAAGCTCAATCTTTCCGACTCCATTTCAAGTATCATTGAATTGGACTCTATTGATATTTCTTGTATTCGCCAAATTCTTCTAATAAATCTGTATTGTTGTTTAGGTAAGGTATAGCCCCCCCATCTTAAACTTTTTCTGTTACTTTCTCAGTACTTCTTGTATTTGGAGAAGATATGTGTTCTCTGGTGGGGTATTATTGGTCTAGTCCCCCTCACGTTTTGTACCTTTTCTTATTTTAAATAAAATCCGGTAAATGTACCTCAACATTTACCCCACCGAAAGGCACCGATGGGTGGTTTGCCTACCGGGATTAAAAAAATACAATCTTAATTGGAGTGAGATAGTAAAATTTAATTAAAGTAATTATATTTTCCCAAATATGAGTAAAACCAAGGCCGTCCATGGGGCGTTTTGTTGCCTAGATAATTGTCTAGGACCCCCAATTATTAGGGGCCTCAAAATTCAAAAAAACTACTAGTATTGTATATTTATATTTAATTCAATTGAAGTTAAATTTGAATTCTCAAATAAAATTATTGGTCTTAATTAGTGAATCAGTGTTTCACACATCTTGAGACAAATAATCGTAAATAGATATTAAAAGTTAGAACTATCTTAAATTCAGGCTAAAGAGTATATATTGGGTCTGATTAATGTTAATGTATTTGATTATTCCGCTTTTGCTTGATTGGTATATTAGCACTCTGGCATGTGAATTTCTAAAATTGTTGAAGTACTTGCGGAAATAGTACGTTTTTTATGTAGTCAAGATTATACTCATATTGTTGTTTTTAGAGCAATTAAAAATTATGTAAGATCAACTAGGACAGAAAATAGATTAAGTGAGCAAGTTATGTTATATATTGAACAAAATGTATCAGCTAATTATGGTCCTATTTATGTTCTTGTCAATTTCGCACTTCGAAACGTTATAAAAATGAAGTATTTACTGAGTTTTGTATATGTTAATAATTGGAAAATTATTCTTTTACTATTTACAATATATAGTGCAGTTCAATTATGTTTGATTTATCATATTGTGTGTTTGTACTCAATTTGTATGATTTTTTTTAGTGATACAGAAAGAGTCTTTTCTAAAAAAAATCTAATATAAAAATTATTTACAAAAATATGACTATAAATTATTATAGTATAGTGTCATTGTCATTAATTGTAAAATTAACACTGAACATATGTTACAATGACTAAAACTATTACTATGGTAACTACACTTAATTGATCACATTTTTATAAAAGTGTTTAATTTATTCATAAATTTGTAATTGTTTTAATTTCTATAAGTAGTGTTTAATTTTCACATGAAAAATACAAAGTACTTAATATTTACATACTATCTGAAGTTGAACCAAAATTTCATCCTTTTTAACAAATTCAATCACTTCTCTCAGAATTTCATACATTTTAACAAATTCAACCAATTTCAGTACTACTAAACGGTCTCTAAAATCAAAATCAGACCATGAAAGGGAAAAATCTAAAAATACTAAATTTATTTAAGGAAACTTTCTTAAAGTATTTTATGATTTTCTATCTCTTTTGCACTACTTTTTGTTATTATATGATAAACTTGCTAACAATTGAGCGAAATAAATTTATCTCTCATATATATATATATATATATATATATATATATATATATATATATATATATATATATATATATATAGAGAGAGAGAGAGAGAGAGAGAGAGAGAGAGAGATATGATTTTCTATCTCTTATGTAGTTCTTTAAAGTACAAGATGATCCGGCTAACAATTGTGTGGAATAATTTATCTCTCATATCTAACAATGTAGTGTTCTTAGATACGAGGTAAGCCGACTAACAATTGAGCTCGAGAACTTTCTCTCTCATATGTAAGAGTTTTAGGTATAAGAAGATAATACTTTTAGGTATAAGAGTTTTAGGTATAAGAACATAATCTTGTTAATAATTGAGCGGGAGGATTTTCTCTTTCATATGTAATACTTTTATGTATTATTAGAAGAAAAGATTGCTAACAATTGAGCGAAGGAATAGAGTGAGAGAATTTATCGCTCATATGTAATGCTTTTAGGTATTATTATAAGAAGATAAGCTTGCTAAGCGTAATAACTGTAACACCGCCCCCAAGTATTTGTACTTCATCGAATTATGTATTGAACCCTGAGAAATGTATAAAAGCCTTTTTACGTGATTGTAAATTTTTATCATTTCTTTTGCGTGAATAGTAAAATTCACGTGGGGCCCACACCGGAGGTAGGGGCCGCCCGATATTATCGGGGCCACATATTATATTGATCTTGGACTAGATAATATGTATATGGTGGTGGATATCCTAATTGGGCCATGGCAATGGCATATGGTTGATCGGTTGGTCAAACGGGGCCAAATTATCAGTATCGGCAATTTATTAGATAACAGCCCGAAAAGGGATTTCGGAGACTTCTAAATAAAAGTTGGGGAATGCATATTGATTCTAAGGTCCAATAAGGATTGGGAACAAGTGTTATATTTTATTTGACCCGATAAGATAAAATATACTTCAAACTGTTCGGAAAATACAACTTTCGGGACCGATTGTACACTCGGGTACACAAAGGGTTGACCTCCCACATGAGTGGGGGCCAACCCACGTCCTTGGTCTGGAAAATAGCAAGGGAAGCCGCATCATGGAGCTGAGAATTGGCTGGGGAAGTGATTGGGAGACCAATCAATATGAGGGTGGGACCATTGCCATATGATTTGGTGAGTAATGCCAAAATGGCATCCTCAATCACCCCTCACCCCATATGCTCGGTTCAATCATCCAAGGAAGGGAGAGAAACTCTGAAAATACTCCATTTCCTCATCCTTTCACGCACCAAGAACAAAGGAGGAAGAAGGAGGGGAAAAGAGAAGAGAAAAGTTGGTTTTGGAGAGGAAAACTTGTGTTTAGCAAGGTAAGGACTCCATTAACCCCATTTCGTTTTCTTTAATCATCTTATATGATTATTCAATCATATTTCACACCCTAGGATTGTTCTACACGTTGGGATGTGTAGAAAGAGGGGTTGGAAGGTGGTTCTAAGTCCAAGAACGGACTTAGAAGCCAAAGGACCGGTTCGCCGGAAAATAACCTTTTGAAGGTTATTTATATTACTATGGGTTTTATGATGATAAAACCTTGTTAGTAACTTGTCTAAGGTATTCAAGGAACTTTCACGGAGTTGAAAAGGTTGCCGGAGTTGTCGCCGGAGTTCGTCGAAGTTCGCCGGAGTTTCACCGAAGCTAAATCGGGAAGGCTAGGACTTCATAAGCTTCATTAAGGTGAGAAGACGGCTTTATGCTTTATAACTTTTGCGTTAGGCATGAGATTACCTAAAGTAATCAAGGATATGTTTTGTGGAATGATTAAAGATAATCAAGTATTTGCTTATGCCATGATTTTGCATAAGACATAGTTGAAAAGCATGTTATGTAGGTTTGGTGATTAAAAATGTGATAAAATATTTTGTGTGATGATCCAGGGGTCCAAATTGGTATTTTTGGATCTAGGACATCAAGAAGTATATGTGTATAAAATTTCAAGTTAATCGGACTCCGTTTGAGTGGTCAAAAGGGGCGTTGACCGCCAAGTCAACTGCCATACCCGAGCGGGTATTGACTCATACCCGACCGGGTATTTGCTGAAAAATTGCCCAGGGGGCTACTGTCTCCTATACCCGATCGAGTATAGGTAGATACTCGATCGAGTATACATGGAAAATTAGCTTTGGGGGCTACCGCCTCCTGTACTCGACCGAGTATGGGTAGATACTCGATCGAGTATTGGTTTATGCTCAAAACGGACAGTTTTGAGCGGGTTAATGTGGGCCGTTCAGGTGGGACCCGCCCACATTGGTTCCCAAGGATGGTTATATGACTATAGGGCTAGGTATTGTCCATAGTTGAAGGAACGAAAGGTTAGCCATATCCAGGTTAGGGTTTGGTAAGGATTTAGTTTGGGGTTGAGTATCCCCGGGACATGCAAATGATCCTGAAACTCGGTTGGGGTTGAGCATCCCCGGGACTATAAATGATCCTGAAACTCGGTTGGGGTTGAGCATCCCCGGGACATTAAATTATTCTGAAACTCGGTTGGGGTTGAGTATCCCCGGGACTATACATGATCCTGAAACTCGGTTGGGGTTGAGCATCCCCAGGACTGTAAATGATCCTGAAACTCGGTTGGGGTTGAGCATCCCCGGAACATTTAATGATCCTGAAACTCGGTTGGGGTTGAGTATCCCCGGGATGCTAAGTGCTCCCAAAACTCGGTAGGATATTATAAATGTAGAATGTAGCTAGCGAGCTAGGCATTCGGGAAAAGGGTGAGAAAGGTCAGGTAAGAACTTTATCTCTAAAAGACTCTTTGAATGAAATGACCTACGGGTCGAGTATTTTACATATATATATATATAGTATGTATCATCGGATGAGTGAGTCACATACATATATGTATCACCCTATTTTTGGGTCCCGTGTCTGAAACATTAATTATTCTTCATATAGCCTGCTTGTCACTAGTACTTCTATGGAGTACTGACCCCTCCGGGGGCCCTCACATTTTTTAGGGGTAGGCTAGGGTCCTACTACCTGCACCTTTGCCTAGGGTGATCGATCGAGAAGGAAGACGTGGTTCGTGCTTCCATTCATATTTCAAATGTATAAACTGCTCATGGATTTTTTTGAACAATATTTTCATTAAAACAGTTGGGGGCCTGCGTGCCCGTGTTTGCCACGTGTGGCTAAGTATCAAACATTTTATTATTCCGCATTTGTTTGATTATGATATTGATGTTGATTGTATGTGTTTACTAATCGGTTTGGCAATAGAATCAATCGGACGCCTTGTACAATCCAATAGGGATGAACTGTTGTTGTTCCTATCGGGTTGTACGGCGGTTGTCTACGTGGCTCGGATGCGGTCCGGGGCGTGACAATAACTTTCTCCCGCATATGTAGTTCTTTTAAGTATAAGAAAATAAGAAGACAAAACAATTGAGCCTCATGATAATTGACTCTCTCATATGTAGTGCTTTTAGGCATAAGACGCTAAGAAAGATAAACTTACTAACAATCGAGTGAGAGAATTTTCT